AAAAAAAAAAAAGTGGTCTAGTAAATCTGCACTTGTAAAAAATTGCCAAGTTTTTTTTTGTTATCGTTTTTTAGCTTTCTCTGAACGCTCCTCTTCATTTTTTGACTTAGAAAAAAAATTTTTTTTTATGCTGCGGATTGTAAACGAATGAGACTTTCTTAACAGTTCCGGGTATTTCAATCTAATAATTCTTTTCAATATCTGAAGATTTGTTGTGTAATGCACTCAGTGCACTCCAAAAAAAACTTGACTGTACAATACGCCAATAAACATTTATCATCGGAACATGTGAAATCGTTATCAATATCACCATCTTCAGTACCATCACAGATAAGAAAAAATTTAAAATGTCTTGATTGTCGAAAAGCAATAAGGGATACTAGTAGTGAATAGTGTTAGACACTATAAATCCCTGTAAATAAACAAAAATTTTTTGCTGAATAAGTTGGTAATGATTGCTGTAGAAATTGAGCTCAAGAAAGGTGACTATAATCAAGATTTTAACACTCTTTAACTGAATGCTACTGTTTATTGTAGAAGCCTTGTGAAGCTTTTTTGCAACTTAATAGTTCATTTCATTTGCAGTACTTGTTGGTCATTAAATCTGATAAATCCTGATGACTGAAACAAAAAAAGTAGTAGTCACTTTCTTACAGAACGTTGTTGTCATAACCAATTGATAAGTTGATCAAAGCAGTCATACATTCGTCTTTTGAATAACTGTTTGGTTCTGCATAAATATTATTAATTGTAAATTATAACATTTCCATCTCTTATTTACTCCCTGTTCGACTGGTTTTAGTATTAAAACAGTTATATTAACAGCAGCGTGATGAGTGTTGTTGATTAGTTTAGTTGTCATTTGCAACAACTACTTCTTTCCCTAACGAATCAAAAATACTTTGTCTTTAGAAAAAGTATTTTTTTGCTTCAAATCACCCTTTTTTTTATCAGAAAAAAAATAATTTTCTAAAATAGAGTAATATTATTAAGAATACGTCAGCATATTTGAACCATTTTTCAATCTGATCAACTCAAGTCACCTTCCAACTGCTTCAGTTAACTTTACTAATAATTTAACACATCAACAACGTTTGGATTAGTTCTATTATCTCTTTTTATAGCCTCGCTAAGCAAGTTTGTTGAGCTCCAACTGCTTCATTTGCAATGCTTCTTAATAAAAAAATTTTTTAATCATAAATTCAGACACAGCAGCTATTGATGCACCTTTGTTTGACAGCGACTTCCATTCTAATGATTTACATTTATTGCACATCTAATGTAATAAGGATGAATCTTTATGTTTTTCCTTCTCTTTTATCACCAAACCAAAAAACAGTGACGATCTGTTACTATTAAATGCACCTGTAACCTGATAAGCACTCAATTAAAAAATCTTAGCTTTTTGTTGAACATAGAATAGCGAGATGCCAGTAAGACAAAACAATTTTCAGAATTTTTCTTTTTTTTCAGTGACTTGTTGATTACTTTTAAAGATATTCTTAGACGACTGTTTTTGCATCTACAGTAGTCAATGAAAACATCTGCGAATACGAGAAAAAGCGAGTTAGACAAACCCAATAAAGTCAGAAGATGAAAATATAAAAATAAAAGAGAAAAACTAATAAAAATGAAAAATAAACAACAGCACAATAGCTTCCTTTACCTTGTAATCAAATATAAAAAATTTGTATGTCAAGGTTCGCAACCTACGATAGAACACAGTTACTTTTGTTGTGTTTTTTGGCTACTTTAGCGATTGCAATTGGGTCCAAACCACAATAAGCCTGAGTTGAAGGCATCGATTGCCGCCGTATTTTCAGTTGCGACGGCAAAAAGCCATCAATTTTGTTCAACAAGCAGGCAAATGCTTCGTCCACCTAAAAAAGAAAAAAAAAGAAAAACAAATCTATAGCTTGGTCAATGATGTTGATGAGAACGATGATAAAGACAAATATTTATTTTCGTAGTTTTTATGAACAAATTTGCTGGTCTTTAATCACGGAATAAAGTCTTGGCAGCCAAAAACTATAAAATTTTCTACAACTTCATTAAATAATTTTTTTTAGCAAAATTTTTTTTTAATTTAAAAACTCTTGTTTTACCTATTGTCTATCTATTTATGTCATGTGTCTAAATTTGTAGAGCTCTGTTTTAACTATTTGTTTAATCAAAGTAAAGTACAATAACTGCAAAAATAATTTAAGTAACAACTCAGCTTGACTTTAACTGCATTTTTGTCAGAAATCAAATAATGCTGTTGAAAAAAAAAAAGAAAATTTTTGTTTTTAAGATAAACAAAAATGTCTTCTTTGCTCACAGTTTTACCACAGTGTATGAATAATTGTATTCAAACAGTAAAATAGCAAAAAAAAGATACACGAAAAAAAATATCAAAAAAAAACTGCTGAAAATTTAAAGTAACCTTCTGAGAGTTTTTAGCAGAAATTTGAGCAAATAAGAGACCATTTTTTTGTGCATATTTGTCGCCGTCCTGGCATATCCATTGAAAGGAACCTTCGTAAAGATCTGTTTTGTTAGCTAACAATAAAATTGGTGCATTTTTCACATTTAATTCGCGAATCTCACGAATAATTCCTTTGGCTTCATCAAATGATAACGAATCATCTACTGAATAAACAACCTATAAAGTAGTGTGAACTTTACTTTGTTTTATCGATTTCATTTCCTTTTCTGTTTTTCACTCTTTTATTGGTTTTAACACAGTAATATTGTGCTATTAAACTTTTTAATAATGTTAAAACAAAAAATCTTTCGTAATTTACTACTAAAGGTTAACATTTAACATTTTGGTTTTATTAAGTGAACAGCGAATTGAGTGAGTACGTTTACGTGATGAAACCGTATTCGAATTTTAAAAAAAATAAATAAATAAAAATAAAAATACATGTACATAATTAATAGTAGTTATTTATTCAGAGCAAATAAGCATATTATTAGAAAGTTAATTTTGTTGATTTGGATACTCATTTTAGTCGACAACTGAATTACGCCGAAATTCTAATCGTTTCTTTGATCAACATAGAAGACGACCATGAATCAAGAACAACGCAGGAAATAGAGAAAAGAAGAAAGAGGAGTAAAAAAACGTGAAAAAGAAAGGAGAGTTAGGAGGAGGAAAAGACATGGAAAAAGCTGAAAAAGAAGACTAAAGAGGAGTAAAATCTATTTTGGATATTCTGTAGATTATTTGTGCAAAATTACGCATACATAATATATTGGTATTAATTTAAATTATAAAAAGATAAAAGATCTCTAATAACACAC